CATATGTCTCTCTTGCAACTTGATGAATATGTCACAAATATCTCGAGATGTTTTCAAGATTGAATCATCTTTGAGAGATGTTTCAAGGAACTACGAATAAAAAAGTATTGAAACTTGTGAAAAACATGTAGAAGAAAACCTATTTTTATAGTAGTAGAGGATCAAACGTTACAAAAGCTTTTGAAATTCTAAAACTCTTGAAATTCTAGTATGAATTTTAATTAAAGAAAAAATTAATTTTATGTTGTTGGAAAACTTTTTGCATTCTAACATTTTATATTCCATGCATTTATAGTATTGATAATTAATAATTAATAATTAATTTAATATTTGTAATAATATATTAATGGCATAATTTGTAAATTTGTAAATTTAGTAAAGGGCAAAAGTGTCTAAAAATGGTTTTTCTACCTCCTACCTTTTTAATATAGTATAGATATGCCATATAGGCTAAAAATGTGGATTGTATAAAGACTTTTGATAGGCCAACACAAGTACCAATTTAGCGGTTAGATATTTACTCCTTATTCTAAGTTTTTTTTAGTACAACTCCTTATTTTAAGTTGAACGTTCAAATCTCTGTCACACACATTTGTTATACTAAAAAACAAACATTTGTTATACTAAAAAACAATTTTTATAGAGGACAGAACATATATTTAACTTTATTTTAGAAAAACACAATAGATATAAGGACTGTCATTACTCTTATTATTAGCAATCATAACCAATAATTTGTATGTCCTCTAAGAAATAAAATAGAAAATCAATGTGTGTGATTGATGAATATGATTGGTTTTATATTTAAAAATTAAAAAAAAATCACAGAACTGTTACTTTATATTTTAAACTTTGAGAGAAAACAATCCAGTCAATCCATAAGGTTGATTCGATAGTACTCTCAAACTTTTAACTTACCTTCAAACATATGTAAAATCACTACAACTAAATCATATATACTATGATAAACTATCAAAATACCACTCAAAATTGTATTTAAGAATTATTACAATTAAACACATTATTGAATTATAAGAGTCCGTGTTTGAAATTATCCAACCATTTGACAACTATTTGTTTCTTATTTCTTAGTTTTTAAAAATATTCTCAAAATTGTATAGAAATTTTCAAACAACGAAAATAAGTAATTTATTTCAAAACATAATAGAAATATTATTTTATCGGAATCCATGAATATTGCATACCATGCCATATCATTCTATTTTTCTTTATTAGAAAACAAAATGCTAGTGATGAATAATAAAGTAAGAAAGCAAAAAGAGGAAGTTTTATCTAGAGCACCCAAATTTAAAAACACTAGTATTGATATGATGACATAAAATATATAGTATTTTTCCAACAAGGAAGGTGATATTCCAACTAGAAATTAACAAACACTCCCACTATTATAAAAGGACACATTTTTTATTTAACACTACAATAACATTTGTTCTCATATAGAAATTAAAAGCACTTATAATAATCTAGGCTCTGTTACAATATTAATAACATTGGAGCAGTAGTTAATTCAGATTGCATTGACGGCAATCTTCATGCCGGACTCACAGTGGCCGGCGAAGTTGCAGATGAAATAGCTCTGTCCCTTTGGCAACCTTATCAGATCCTTCCCTGATTTATACACTTTCGCACCCGCCGGAGTTATGCAGTTGGTGTAACCACCTTTGTCCACCACCACCACGTTGTGCACCGTCGAGATGTAGTTGAACTCTGCCAAATATTCCACCACGAGGCACAACTAGGTCCTTATTAACACTATTTCAAATATGTCCATTATAATTTTTTTTACTCTTGAACTCACCTCGTTTTTAAATAACTAATACTATGATGGAAGTAGTCATGAGATTTGGAGTAGGGAATATTTTGCTGTTGGACTCTTTTAAGGGTGGGAATAAATCTTATACTTGCTGTGGTTGAACCAGAACTCATTAATTTTTATAAAAAGTCTCTAATTTTGCATCATTAATTTTTATAAAAAGTTTCTAATTTTGCATTTTTGTTTTTAGTTGTCAAATATTTAAAGATGGTAAGGACAAAATTGCTCCTACCATTAAGGAACCAAGTATTTTCTAGGAAGAAATTCTTATTGTACCGTACTAATTAAGTTTTGGAAAATACGCTTTGCTCTTTAATGGTAAAGAAATAATAGGTTAACTATCACACATTGATAAAATAAGTCACCTAACAACGATTTGTAATAGATATGTAATACTCTTGTTATTGTCAATTAATTTTGATATAAAACTCATAAATATTAATATAATAAGTAGTCAAGATTTCAATGGTAGAGTAGGTTAAGTATTTTTAGTAATTTTTTTTTTTGGGAAAAGAAAGAAAAAGAAATTATTATTATTATTTTGTGAGTAGATCTAAAATATTGAGGTGAGAGTGAAATTGGAAGTAAATTTACAAATGGTTTTTATGGAACTTACTGAGAATGTCACCGGCACGAAAACGTTTTCCATTTGGCCAACTTTGGACGTTAAAAGTCCATCCACCGGCGTCGCCGACAGTGAAAGTAGCTGCCTCGACGCTCTCCAACTGAGACAGCACAACCAACCCGATAACGGCGGCAACAGCGACGGCTGATCCGATCCCCACAGCAGCACTGCCTCTTGCCTGACCCTTGCCCATTTTCAGAGATGGAGAGCTTAATTAAACTAATTTGGTAAACAACAATTTGCTGGGCAGCCACCTGAGAGTGAGAGCGAGAGCGAGAGCAAATGAGGGCATTTTATAACGGAGAGGAAGAAGAAGTGGAAGTGAAAGTGGAAGCTGTGGGGTCGAATGGATTGAATGGGGAAGGCGAAAAATTAGGGAAAGTTGGTGACTTTTGTACTCACCAATGTTTTATGGTATTCATTGCTTCCAACAACTCCCATTCATGCCCACTGCCCACTGCCCACTGCCCACTATTGTAGACTTGAAGGAGTCCAGATTTATGGAAATCTACCCCCATCCTACTTTCTCATCGGGAACAGCAGGAATTGATGATTAAAAATGTGTGCAATATTTCCTATAATTTTTTAGAGAAAAATTTAGATCGCTTTGATACCATTAAATATTTAAAAATTCAATATTTTTAGAAAAAATTTGACGCTTTAGAATTAACCAAGAACTTCCTCGTGAACATATCCTTAAATATTTGAAATTATGGGAGAGAAAGAAACACGAGTAAGGAAGAATATTGTAGTTACCACAATTAAATATTTGATAACTAAGATAAAGAAATACAAAAACAAATTTTTTTAAAACAAATAATAAGTTGTCAAATATTTATTGGTGGTAAGAACAAGGTTCGAACTAAGTATTTTCTAGAGAGAAATGTAAAAATAAAACAAAATTATAAAAAAGAATAATGAGTTATCAAATATTTAATGGTATTAAGGAGTAAGTTCCTCCTTAACTTTGAGTCAAGTTTTGTCTTTATTTTTTTATAATTTTTTATTTTTACATTTCTTTCTCTTAGTTGTCAAATATTGAAGAAAAAAAATATTGTATTTTTTTTTGTTTAAATTGAGAGGTTATTGAACAAAAAATTAATAGAACATTTATTTGGTATGAAAAGTTATTGAAAAATGTATGCTATGCTCTGTATAATTAATGATAAAACATATATTTGGTACGAAATTGATTGAATTCAGATAATTTTTTCTTTTTTCTTTTCATTTAAATTTACAAATTTTAGTAAAGTTATTTAATGGTCGATTTTATACATTAACTTAATTTTGTGTCAAGCTTTATTTTCGTTAAATTAGTAAGTTTTCTTTATGTTTTTGTTAAAAATAGTGGATGAATCAATAGGTAGTAAAAATTACAAAATTTTGATATTTAATTGGATGAAACTAAAAACTTACGGTGAAAATTGACAAAAAAACGGATGAAGTTTATAGATAAAAAGATAATTTTTCCCTTAAAATTGAGTTTATATCTTTAAATTTGTAATCGACCTCAACCTATAATTAAGAAAACTTGGAGGATATTAAATTGATTCTTTTTAAGTCTTTACTATTTACCTTGATATTTATTGATCACTAGATTATCCCATGAGGATTGGTATACTACATACTATTAGTCATTTTAAATTTTAAGTTTTTATTACTCTTTTTTCTTATACCCAAACTATAAAAAAGTGGCATTTTTTATTTCAAGTTTTGGTTTTTTTTTCCCTATTTTTTTTAGTTCAACAACACGTGGGTAGAAATTCAAACATCTAACATTTTCAATTAATGATATAATATATCTATACTCTAGCTAATTTCAAACTTAATTAATTTAAGCTTTATCAAAATTAATAAGTTTTTTTTTTCATTTTTGAAATACCTCAAAATTATGAGTCACACATCTCTAATTAAATTGTATGTCCACCGACTGACTGCCCGTTTTGAATGTGAATTAATGTTGTTAAAGAAAAAACAAACAAACATCAACCCTAACCAGCAATAAAGGAGCTGCTACTTTGTTCTTTATATAGGTTGGTGACGAAATTAAGGTCATGTCTTTCCCCACATCCTCAATTATAATAATAATAAATGTGAAATCATATTATATCGTCACAAGATTTATTGTAAACCTAATCCTTTTTCTTTTGTAAATATTAAAAAAATAAAAAGTTGAAGTGACATTTATGTCAGTCATGTCTATGAGCTTTCAATCACAAATTAGTTGTATAGTTAAAATTAATAACATTATTCGAAGTTAACTAAAACCCTCTCTCAGCCCTAATCTCAGCCCTAATTAAGAAATGGAAAAAAGGTGCTTAAAAATCTTTAAGCAAATACAAGTCTGACATCATTATTACGTAGAGCTGATCTCACCTTACCCCTACAACCAAAAGAAATATTGCTTCCACGGGATGTCATGGTAAAATCAGAGGTGACGATTCAAGAAAAAAAAATATATAAAATGTAATAATTTTATAATTATAACAGTCAATTAATATTGTTATAAATATTTAAATCACCATGTAGCTAATTATTATTTTATCAAGTGGAGTTATAGATTATAATGTTATATTTATAGTTACTTTTGAAAATTTCGTTTTTCTTGCCATTTCCTCAGGTTCTCTCCCGGTTCATAGTTTGGTTATGGATCATCAACCAGGACCAATCCGGTTTTGGGGAATGGTTTGGTTCAGCAGCAACCTGAATTTGTAATCAATTAAAACCCTAATTTGGTATCATCATTAAGATTAGTCTATTTATTTGCCAATAATGACCAAATTGATATACAGTGCGCATTAATTGATTAAATTCAACGCATGTTAATTACTACCCTATTTAGCTTGAATGGGTATTAATTGACCCTCCACTTTAACTAATAATTAATGTTTGCTTTGGTTATTTGTTTTCAGGTTACTTTCAATAATTCCTTTATTTCGAAGTTGACCCAAAGAAAACACACACACACACATAATTTTAACGGGTTTCTTTTTGTTCTTAAACTACGCATAAAAATTCATTTTAATTATCGTTGTTAATTTTTGTTCAAATCTTATAGGACACCTCATAATTTATATTTTAAGTCATATGTATTTTATTTGATATTAATTTAGAGATGGGTGAGTTAAAATTTATGTTAAGTACGAAGATGACAATTTGACCACTACAAAAAGTCAAAATCAAAGTTTGTGAAGGTGAAAAGACTAATACATAGCATTTCGAAATATAAATACCAACAACAAAACAAAATAGAGGTAAAGGTTTGATTTTTCTAAAAAAAAAAAAAATGTAAAAGTTTGATCATGAAAATAGGATTTAGACCAAAATAAGGCATTTTTCCCTATCTTCTTAGGAAGCAATCTAAGTTCTTATTTTGTAACGTTTTCTTTTTCCTTGCTTCTTATTTCTTATTTACTATTTTTTTCTATTGAAGCATATAACTACTCGTTAATTATTTTTATTTTTCATTTCCCATTTCAAGAAATGTTTATAAATTTGGGTAGAAACTTTGAAAATAACAAAATATGTTTTGTTTATGCTTCTTTATTTCCACTTTTTTCTAAAATATAGATAAAACATTATTTTATCATTCTTAACTTATAAAATGTATATTAAATATACTAAAATAGTTTGAAATCTAGTTTTCATATAAAACTTTTACTAATTTTTGCAATTTAAAATGTTAGAGAATAAAAAATGATAATCAAATATGTCTAAAAAAAAACCTATTCGAACTTAGAATTTGACAGAGAAGGAAGAGGATGAATTTCTTCCCATAAATCAAAGGATTTTCATAATATATCGCATTCAAATCTACGTGGAATCAGTAAGAGCCCTTTCCTCCATTTTCTGGGAAAATAAAACCACAATTTAAAATTTTGGGAATCAGGTTTTGTGTATACAACTTGCAGAAAGTGCTGGAAGTTTAGATGTCTTTTTTACTACTACTTTGGTTTTTGGCTATTGAAATTATAAGTCGAGAATAAACTAATAAAACAAAAACCCTTGCTCATAAGTTATCAATATCAACAATACCTTTCTTTAGTAAAATAATGAGCCTACCTCTAATATAATAAATAAAAACACAAACCAATTTTATCATAGTTCAATTATATATATATATATATATATATATATATATATATATACCAAAAAAATTGAAATATAGCATAACTATTACTTTTCTTAGTATATATTTTTTTTATTACATTTAAGATTGAATTTGGGTTTATGGATTGTACTATTTTGATAAAATTTCAAACTTTCTACTCTATTTAAATATGCATATTTATTTAATACAATTTAATATAATGTAAATGCCTCTTGATCATAATTCTATTGTATATATATGTGCTGTTTTGTGATTTTTTCTAAATTTCAATTTTATATCCACGTAGTTCAAAGTTTTAGATACAATATATTTCTTGATAAAGTGCTGATTTTAAGCATGGTAACACATTAGTGTAAAAAAAAAAAAGGCATAAAGGCATGGTAACACATTTAATATGTTTATTTTCAGCAGCAAAATATATAATGCCCTATCTCAAGTTGAGAAATGTAACACCGTATCTAGTAAAATCGAAAGCAAAAGCCAACAAATTTAGTGTAGCTTTTCTAAATGAATTTAGATGACAAAAAGTATACTTTTAAAGAAATTTATAGTATTCAATAATAAATAAAAAAAAATATATTTTTAGAAAAATCACATTGGTTTTTAAATAACTTTTTAAGAAACAATTGATAAATTATTATCAAAAAGTGATTTTACAGTAATTTGACACTGTTACCGTTTAAGCCATTGAGAAATTATTTTTTAAAAACAAATAGTGCTTAAATTAACTAAAACATATATCTAAATTACCCTTAAGCTTGAAGTGAACGATAACATGCATGCTCTATTATTGTGAAGATTGGAAGCGTTTTATTGCCTTGACAAAAGTCCTTAGGCATCGAACCAACAAAAATATTGAGCAAACTCTCTTTACACCGTTCTTAATCATCAAAGGTTGGCCGGTCTAAATTCTAAGAATTTAGAGGGCATGAATTCAAACGGCCAAACTATACCTTCAACTTAATATCTGAATTCTTAATAATTTTTTCGGTATATACTTATTAATATAATGTTTGTGTTTATAGATAAATAGAACTCTCCTTGAATATTTGTAACAAATTTAATAGACATAAAAACGACAAGAGACAAAATTATATATTTAACTAAATAAAGCAGAATGAAATAAAGTCTCCTAACTTGGTGTCGTCATTAAGATTCAGCTAGATCCCTTTAATTAGTTATAATAATCCAATTTATCAAAGTGATGAAGTTTTTTTCTTTTTTTTGGCAAAGGTATGTGATGAAGTTGGTTATAAGTTTCTTGCAACCATATTGATAGGCTTCTCTAAATCTACTGATATGGACAGTTTATACTAGTGTCATATCTATGAAAGAATTGAACAATAGAAGCTTCCATTACCTAACATATATATAAGTTGAATGTTCATTTGCATTTCTAATATAATACCTGAAATTATCCTAATTCTTAACTAGCAGTTAAAAACTATAATTAATTGAGATAAACCCTTTCTCATACTAGAATAATTTCAATGGGTGTTGTATATGTATATGTATATACCAGCTGAAATCAAAAGGAGAGTGAAAATTGAGAAGATGAATGAAATTAAAACTAACAAGAAATATAATCTACTTGCCAAGACTAATGAACATGAAAAGTCATCCTTTATAATACCATCTCAGATGATGGAAAAAAGGGTTTAGATATATGTATATATCTAAAACTACCTTTAATTTTCACATAGTAATTAACATGTAAGTAATAACAAGTAATTAATTAGAAGATTATATTGATGGAATAATAATGATAAATCTTGATCAAGAAGAAATTCCCACTCCGAGGAAATCTATGAAGGGAACATCTTTGTCGGGTTTAAGGGATTCATCTTGATCTTGTGGTTGTTCTTGACGGCGGCCATGGTCGTCCATATTAAACTTGACAAACGCCGTCGAGGCTGGGCAAAGCTTCTCCAACTCTCTCTTAATCACACCATTATCGCTACCAAGATTATAAATCCCGAAAGGAATTTTATTATTTGGCAGGCAAAATCGAGTTGGAGGGGTTCTAAAATTAGGATAATTATTGTTATAATGTCTATGGAGAATAGGAATATTACTGTCTGAACCTTGTTTGAAGTTCCAAACCATTTCATCATGGTTGTGCAATCCGAGGAAGCCATTGTTGTCGGAGACAAGAAGAGTAGTCGTAGTACTAGTACTTGGTCTGAATAATTCTTCTGCGAAATCTGTTTGGTTGCCGAGAAATTTAGACGAATTAGCTGAAAACTCTTGGTAGCTTCTCTTGTTCCCGCAAAGCTGCTTGGAGTGTTCTCTTTGCTTTCTTGCCATTATGACATGCCAGTGGTTCTTGACGGCGTTGTCGGTTCGACCAGGAAATAGCCTGGCTATGAGTGACCACTTGTTTCCATGTATTCGATGCGCCGCCAAAAGCCTCTCCTCTTCTTCTTCACTAAAGGGCTTTCGGATGATTCTAGGATCCAGTTGATTAAACCATCTCAATCTACAGCTCTTTCCTAAACAACATTTCAAACACACACAAAACAAAATTTCAGAAGAGATGGTAAATGAAAAACATACCAACGAAAAGAAAGCTAGAAAAAGTTTTCTAATTAAGTGAAATAGTCGAGATATCGTAATTAAAAAAAAATTGTGATTTAGACGACGACCAAGAGTATCAAATCTCAATAATTTTCATAATTAACATCTCAAATTAAAGTTGCTTTTAAATCTACCAAAAATTAAAGGTAGTTATCAAACGAACTAAAATAATTAAACCCCATAAAGATATTTACAAATCTTCAAATGAAATTGAGATAACAAATATAGAAAATTCAACCCCCAAAAACAAAACCCTATAATATTATTGATCACTCCAAAATTTTGTTAATCTGGGGTTGATTTATTTTATTCGTTTCAGTTCTTACCAACTTTTATTATTGTTTTCATTGGATCATCAATGAAGCATCTTAGATTTAAAAAAAGATTGTCGAAAAGTCAAAGATTTTGAGGTTCTTTTTCAGTAATTTGTCATGAATCTTAGAAAAGAGAGAGGGAAAAAGTGGAGATAGATAAATTTAATTAAGGTACCTGATCGGCCTTGAAGTTTTTCAGCAATCGAGTTCCAATTCTGGGCGCCGTATTGTTCAACCAACAGACGAAGCTTTTCATCCTCAGCAGGCCTCCAATGGCCTCGTGGGCATGATTTATACTCATAATTCACACCATCATCCCCACAATCCTTCATGATCATCAAAACTCCTTAATATATATAACAAGTAACAGCAACCAAAGAGAGAAAAATGGATCAGAGGGAAGAAAATTGGTGTGCATCAATAGAACCCTAGACACAGTGGAAAAATAAGAAGAAGAAGAAGAAGAAGAAGAAGAAAGGCAAAGACATATATGACTAGCAACAGAGTAAATAAAGGCAAAGTGGGGTTGGTTTAAGGGGAAGACGGGGTTGTGGATAGCCAGTCACTTTTGTTGCTTTCGCACGACATTTTTATACCTATAATTATATGCACATAATAACTCCCAACTCCCCAAAATATTAACCAAATACTCCACCATAATCTCCGTTCAATTTTAAATCAAGATAAGAGAGGAAAAAAAATATTTAGTTATTGAATATCGGATAAACTTCCATTCTAACCCAAATTGGTATCAAAGTCAGAAATCTTATGTTCGAACTTTCATTGTTGTTTCCTCCCCAAACCCACAAATGACGGGAGTGCTAGATATCCAATATATTAATTAAATTTTCCCAATGCATCAACTGGATTGAGTAGCGATTTATTATTGATCCTTAACAAGTGAGTACCACTAAATGAATATCTCTTTTATAACTTTCTCGTATGGGTACTTATCCAAAAACCAATTGAATTAGCCGGTAGCTAATAATTGTGTGGTATCATCACGAGGGTCTTGTGTTCGAGCCTTGCATTGGTGTTGTTTAGCCCAAACAACGAGTCCCAATTATAGAGATTTACTGGTGGAAGTCAGACTACATCAACTTTGGAAAATCATGAAAATAATAATAATAATTATTATTATTATTATTATTGTCTTATAAACTCCTTTTTCTCTCTTTCTAGGCTCTACACGTCTGCCAAATTGGGAAGCTTTCGGTTTTTAACTTGAAGTGACATCTCTCCTAGTGCAATGAGTTCCTTCCTAAATATGTAGCTTTTCACCTTCACTTCACATATATATCCATCATAATCTATTGCACCAAATATAATGTTTAAACAATAATGTGTCCTTTATCACAAAAAAAAAAGTGTCTTAAAGACTAATTACGGTATTAATTATTCATTCATTCTTTTGCTTTTAATTATTAATTGTTCTTCAAGGATATTATTTTCCATGCATGCATGTAACAGAAATTAATATGTCTCAACTTATAAACTTTGGAATCTTGGCTCTGAGCAGTATAATTATATAGTTGAGTAGATAAATATTGTATATATTGCTGAGCTCCAATAAACCCTTGTTGTCATCATGGCGCAGTCGTTTTTGACAATTTATGCACACTTAAAATGGAGGCAATCTTATTTAAACCAAATTACACAAATATCACCTTCAGATTTTAATATATGGAAGTGACGACATTTCAGCTTAAAATTACAATTAAAACCACCTTGTTTTAGACCGAAATTATAATTATTTCATTGAATAGTATCTTCAAATTACAATTTCTTTTTTAATTATGAAAGTGTGTGTTTGTTTAATTTGTAAAAAAATTAATTTAATTAGGTGATATAGAACTGTTGTGCATGTCATGGCTGCTGGTGTAGTAAAAGTAAAACCAACTCCACTTTTTCTAAATAATCTCTCCTGCTTCTTCTGTGTGTGATTAATATACGTAGAGAGAAAAGGGTTGGCATGACTTTTAGTTTTTATTAAGCATTACTTAATTAACAGCTGCTTAATTTGTACCCAAAACTGACAATATAAACTTTGTTAAATCGAATGTCTTTATTATGAAAACTATGACGTACCTTTTTCTCTCACCTTCTTCAAATAAACATACACCTAACCTTTTCCAATATATATCTAAAATATTAAACTTTAGAACAAAAAATCTCTACTCTATAATATGTCCAATAACAATATTCATTATCAGAGGTATATATAATTAATTACATATTATGGAAAAAAAAATTACTTAACCATGTGTCTTTCCTACAAATTAAAGTTTTCATTTGATCAAACTAATTGGATTGGACCCTATTTCTTGGCTGAATAAAATTCCATCCATAAGAGTTTGTCAAAGCCTATGGGTTTCTTCCTAACAATGAACTTGTATTTCATGGCAATCCAATTTTCTTACTCTATGTGAATAAGTTGAAGACTTCACCTATCGTTTGAAACAGAGTATGTTTTACGTAAATACTATACCGTTTTGTTCCTTTATGTATTTACAATAAACTACTAATTTATAAAGATCTTCCACGAATATTTATATGGTATCAAAGTCCAAGAGCTCAAACGAGAAATCCAGTCCAAAAATAGGATCTCCATCCTGAAGGAGTATATTAAGGATCTCACATTGAAAAAATACGATGCTATCGTGGGGATTCTTGAAGAGGAGTAGACATGCCTCAATCATCAACTATTTATTCTTAGGTTTTCTATGAATATATTCATGATTGGATTGAGGGATTATTGTGTGACTAAGCTTGGGGCATTCTTATTGGTAGATTTTGGAGCTAATTGAATTTGAGGTGAATTATCCTTTGGTTCTTAAACAATAAAAATATAAATTTTACCAAAATAATTTTGTTTAAAAAAAAAAATTGTTAGTAACAACATATATAGTTGTAAAAACGAATTGTAAGACAGCCCATGTATACGACTTGTTCTTATATGTTGACGTGTTATCCGACAAATGGCTGAAGTAACCCATAAGAATTAATCTCTCTTTCCAAAATTTTTAAATATTATTTGTGAGAGTATGTAACATTATAACTATTAATTACTTCCATTTGTGCTTACTTGTTAATCATTTTTAAAGAAAAATAAAAACAAGTTACGTTTACTTAATCAAAATAGAAATAAAGAAGAATCAGTCAAAATGAAATTTTATCAAATTAGAATAAGGTTTCTTATAGTGTGCTAAATAACAACTATTAGGTAAAATTGCAACTGAAAAAGTTAACTCTAAAAATATTTAATTACAACTATAGATTCTGAATTTTTATTTCATGTAGTCTCCTTGCTAATTTTATTAAATTAAGTAATAATATGACAGGTTTATTAGATAAAAAAAATAGTTGATTTGACAGTAAAATGAAGTGGGAGAACAAATTAATGATTATTGGAATTAATTATAGAAAGTTAATTACTTCCCATTCGAGATAGTGACGGTTTAGCTAACCTTGTGGGTTTTTGCTTTTAGAGGAGATTTCAGTGACATTATTCTTTCCGTGTTTGTCTTTTGTTCCCTCTTTTCTTTTTCACTCTTAATTTAATTATATTTATTTTCAATCATAGAGAATATGATATTATGATATATCTGTTTGGGGAAGAGAATATCCTGGACACGTGGAAGACCCCTATTGGTGCTCCAAGATGACTCATGAGTCATGCCCAGTTCGGACGGTCGAGATCACCACCACTAGCGCGTTGACAGATGCTAAGTATGAGGGCCGAGGTGAACCTGGCCGAGGTCCGACCTACCGGGAAGCTCGGTGGGGGCCGATGTGAGCTACTGTCAACGACGTGATTATCGGGTATAACCGTCGGTCCCGAGATTACCGGGTGTAACCGACGGTCCCGAGATTACCGGGAGTAACCGTCGCGAGATTAGC